TTTTTTATTAAGTCCATGCCATCACCTATGGATATCTGTAAATCTAACCCTTTGCCATGACATGCAAATACACTGGCTAAGCATCATTTTTAAATGTGAACAGTGAAGCTTTAAATGGATGACTGTGGGTGTCTCCTATACGGCCCCTGGGCCACACCCAGCTCCTGACACAATTATATCTGGCCTTTGAGATAAATCCATGTGTCATGTGTTGTTAATGGCTCGTTGGTATGTGGGATCTGAAACTTCAGCCTTGCTAATAAAATCCATGCAGACAGGGCACACCAGCCAATCACATGCAAAGACAGACTGGAGTCATGCCAATATGTGGAAGAAGGAAGGGGGGTAGACATTCTGAAGACACCGAGTGTAGTGGTACAGGCCAGGTAGACAGAGAGAAGGGGAATGCATACGTGTTGGGAAAAAGTGAAGAAATGAGAAAAAACGTAAAGTGAGCATCATCAGGCTGCAATTCAGTGACATTGGAGACTTCAAAGCTGGGTGCAGAATTTATCAAATTAGGAGCTGGCTATTTTTATTTTCAGTCATTTTCCAATGTGAAGGACAAAAGGTTTCAAACTTGTCCAGGCCTTAAATCTCATTTGTTCCCTCTAGTAGTAGTAAATGTATATAAAGGCTTTTATGAAAACACTGAATAAAAAATTGCTTCCTTGAAAAAGACTAAATGTACAGATCATTATTGAATATTACATAAAATAAACAATATAAAAACTATATACAAAGTGTCTTTGAATACCAGACGAATGTTGTTGCTATCTGTGGTGTGAACGCTGAATGGTAATGAGTAATTTCTTCTCCTGTCATTTTCAGATGTTATGAACAACTATTTTTTTGCCCCTTCCAAGTTTGTCAGAAAACTGAAGTAAAAAAACATTTCAACATGCTAGCTACAGGAAGTATGTTTCTGCTACTCTGCTCATTTCTGTTCTGCTTCTGTTTCTATAACCCCTCACATGCTTTTTCACTGAAAAACTGCATAATTCCCTATCCTCAAAAGGAAAATAATACATCCATTTTATGCACAGACCATGACCTCACTGCTATTCCGGATGACATTCCCAGAAATGTAACATCGCTGAATCTCTCCTCAAATAAGATTTCAAACATCACCTGCAAAGATTTAAGAGGTTTAGCTAAGCTCAAAGTTTTAAACGCTGAAAGTAATGCGATTGTACACATTGATGATGGAGCTTTTGCAGACTTGGCAGAGTTAACGGTTCTAGTCTTGGCTAGAAATAACCTCTCAAAGGTGACAGAAAATATGTTTCGGGGTCTTTCACAATTAAAAGAATTATCTCTGAATAAAAACCTGATCTCATCCATCTCGCAGGCGGCTTTTCAGTCCCTGGTCAACATAATCTCAGTAGATCTGAGCTACAATTCTCTGTCTGAAATTGCAACTATTGCTCCAGTATTAACACTTCCACATTTACAAAATTTGTCCATTGGGGGAAATGATTTTACTTCTTTCCAGTCCTCCGACCTGCCTTTAAATAGCTCAAACATTAGGGAACTGGATATAATTTGGTGTAAACTCAGAAAATTCAGTATTACAAAAGACATGTTTCCTCATCTGCAGTTACTGGACTTCAGGAGATGTAATAGTAAGATTGAATGGAATGTAACAAACAAAACATTCTTGAGGAGCCTAACTTCACTCTACTTGGATGGGAATAATGTTACTTTTGAGACATACAGCAAGATGCTAAAGACTGCTGCCTCACTTAAACATCTTAAACTGTACTTCATGAAAATTCCGATAAAACTTGGTCTTATAGATATTGCCTGCCAGATTCCTTCTCTACACATTCTCGATATAGGGAGTAGCAAAATTACCCACGCAAATGATAACCTGCTGCGGTCTTGCTCCCAACTTACTAAGCTTAGGTTACCTTTTAATAAGATGCAAACAATGTCTGATCATGCACTCCAATCAATGACACGGCTCAAGCACCTGGACCTGCAGAAGAACGTTTTATCCAAAGTGCCGCTTGCTCTCCGGGGACTCTCCAAACTGGAAGTTCTGGACCTGAGCTTCAATGTCATCAGCGAACTCAACAGCTCTGACTTTAATAATCTGAGGGCACTCACACACCTCAATCTAAACCACAATCGCATTTCCCGAATCACACCGCATATTTTTCAAAATCTGCCTCATTTGAAAGTCCTGAAAATAGAAACAAATGGAATTTTTTCTTTTGAGCATAGCTTCAAAGGAAATTTAGAAAAACTAGAATATTTGTATTTGAACAACAACACTTTGGCAGATTTACAGAAGGGAGACTTCAAAAAACTCCATTCCCTCGATCACTTGGAATTACAATCAGACGACAGTTGCATTGATCATTCGGGAATATTTGAAGAACTTAAAAGTCTCCAAACTCTTAAAGTGTCATGTAGGGGTTACGTAAAAGAGTATTTTAGGGGACTAACAAACTTAAATACTCTGGTCTTCCATATTACCAAAAATCAGAACATACAACATCATGCACATCCTTTCTCATATTTAACCAAATTGAAGAAGCTTATTATCTTTGATAAAAGGGAAACTCACGAGGATATTCCGTCAGACGTACTTAGTGGTCTGACATCTTTAGAGTACTTATGGATGGAGAAATTTTTTATGGGGTCATTGCACCCCGACACATTTAAATACACCCCCCAGCTGACGTCTCTGAAGATAACAAATAGTGAGATTTCAAATTTAACATCGGAAGTGTTCTGGCCTGTCCCAAACCTGACAATGCTCGACTTCTCTAACAACAAACTCAGATCTTTGGATTTCCTGGCTAATGCCAAACTGCTGGCACTCACCTGGCTGAAACTCAGCGACAATACATTGACACTAGTCAGTCAGAACGTGATCAACTCCCTCTCTGCTTTGACCTATCTGGATCTAACTTCCAACCGTCTAACATGTGAATGCTCTAGCATTGAATTTAACGAGTGGATTCAAAACAGCACCCGGACACAGATCGTTAATGCTCACCAGTACACTTGTGCATTTCCTGTGAGCCAACAGGGGAAAAAATTCCTGGACTTTGAAATCGACTCCTGTCGGATGGATGCTAATTTTCTCTGCTTCATTTCTAGCTTTTTTCTAGTTGTGCTTACTCTTCTTATATCCTTCATTTACCACTTCCTGAGGTGGCACCTCACCTATGCCTACTACCTCTTCCTGGCCTTCCTCTATGATAATAAGAGGAGGAAGAAAGGTATTCCTCACAGCTACGATGCCTTTGTCTCCTACAATGTTCATGATGAAGCTTGGGTCTACGGAGAGTTGCTTCCAGAGCTGGAGGGTCAACAGGGCTGGAAACTCTGTTTGCACCACAGAGACTTTGAACCAGGTATAGATGCTTTTCTGATGACTATGAAATGCTGGTTATGAAATGTTGATTCTGACTGTTTGAGTCAAAGTCATGCTCGTTCTTCTGCATCGCTCACTTCCTCTTAATATCTTTGTCAGCAATTTAAACGTCTTTTTTTCAGACTTGGTTTGGACCCATTTCTGTTTTTTGTTTCTATATTTGTTAAGTGTTACGTTTTTATACCAAATAATGTGAAATCAGCACGACAGCCAGTGCAGAATTTTCAAAACCAGCAGACACAAATTAATCAGGACCAAGAATTATTCTTTTAATTTCACAAAGAATTTACCTGCCATTTCTATTGTGCATTTTTTTTAAACAGGTAAGCCCATTGTAGAAAACATCACAGATGCCATCTATAACAGCAGGAAGACTATCTGTGTGATCAGCCAGCATTACCTGCAGAGTGAGTGGTGCTCCAGAGAAATCCAGATGGCCAGGTATTGTCAACATCTCTGTCCTTGCACCCGATGATGTCACCATGCTCCTATGCTTATTCAACTGTCTGTTCTGTTCTGTGTGTGGTGTCTTTAGCTTCCGTCTGTTCGATGAACATAAGGATGTGTTGATCATGGTGTTTCTGGAGGACATACCAGCCAAGCAGCTGTCTCCGTACTACCAAATTAGGAGTCTGGTGAAGAAGCGCAGCTACCTGAGTTGGCCACAGGCTGTTCAGCACACTGGAGTCTTCTGGCAGAAAATACAACAAGCTCTCAAGAGAGAAGAAAACCCTGCTGAGCACAGGCACCTCCTCACTGGACACTAGAGAGTCATCCAGTGAGATTTACCCAGGTGGAAAAATCATAGATTGTATATCAATCAATCAATCAATCAAGTCAAAATGCTGTGAAACTGGACCCCTTCTGACCATAGACACATAGCACAAACATCACATTGGAAGACAGGTTGGAGAGAGGTAGAATGATAAGAACAACAATGAAAAATAAACAACATCAGGGACAAGAGGAGGAAAAACAAACTCTACTCAAACTGAGCTAATAACTGGTAGAGCAGTTTGAGGACAGTAAAAAAAACACCTCAGCGCAGAAAAGCACATGAATCTTCACATCTTATACCATGTAAGAAGGATGCGACATGCAATGGGGGGTAGCCATCGCCAGCTTATTGCAAACAAACTGCATTCCAATTTCACTTCAATTTCAATGGTTCTAGAAGGGAAAACAGCTGCCTTGACAAACAGCTGTGCTGCCTTGACCTGTGACCTCAGTGAACACTTTCTGGTCTGGTGGACTTTCCTGGAGTGCCATCTGCTATTTACTATTTCTTTTTCTTTCTTTTTTTTTTGCCATTAAAGTATTAATAAAACTTTTTTCATCGTTGATATGCTTGAAAGAAATGCTATGATAATATGTGTTATAACATAGCAACATGGTAAAGCTGTAATAAAGGCAAAACAATGTTTTTACATGACAGTAGTTACATGTTTTATTTATTACATCATTTTCAGTGTTTCCATTAACAGCACCAAAAATGTTTAAAAAAATCATAACCATAAATTCATAATGGTGTTGTTCTTTTCCTCCCTGTAATTTATTGTGATAGGTTTAAGCACAGTACGAGATCCAAATGTTCTAGCCTAACTGTCCAGTAGCGACCATATTTTAGGTAAATTTTATTCTAATTCAAGTTACTTTCAAATCTGGGACTCTATGTCCCAGATTTGAAAGTAACTTGATAGACACCCACCTTTGACAATTAGTAGGTGTTGGGGATGATAGCCACGGTTTCAGGTCAAAGTATGTCACTTCTGTCACTGTTTACAGATAAATATTTTAAAAAGAT